TGCTCTGCACTGACAAAGCTCTGCCTGCAGAACCACGCTGGTACCCTAAATGTCAGGAAGAGAACATGTAGAGTCAGCCAAAGTCTTGTCATTGAACAGTTCAGTCTTCTCATTGATGTGGTTTAGCATACTGGGCTGCTCCTGTGGGTTGGTTCTGCTGGAAGAGCTGTCAGGGAGGACATGATGCATTGAGTGCTGCACAGAATCCCCACTTGGCTACTCATGGAAATGGGCTTAAATCCCCTGTTGTCTAGCCTGTGTGATCATTCCAGATGTTGTTCTATGTTGACTAACTTACTTTTTATTGCCCTCCTTCATGTTCGTGTATATAATTTTGTACCATGTGGGTTGCATTTCACATGACTTAGAAAGGAATATCTGAAACACCATGGCATGTCACCTGGGCAACCTGCTTTGAGGTGATCACTATGGGCATTTCATGAGCTGGTGGTCAAATCAGAAACTGATTCTGATTTTTTTCTCATCTGTTTCCTTTGAGAACATCCTAGAAAGGACCCTGTTTATTCTGAGTAAAGGAAACATGCTGCTGCTGGTTTTCTGGTGACAGGGATTCTCACATGGTTTCATATATCTTACAGGAATTTCTATTCCTGTAGTTTGGTAGTGAAGTGCAAATAGTATACTTCACAGCTCCTCTGAAGTTGCTAAATATCTTGCAATGTTATACATAATATGCAGTTGCTTGTGATGTCAGTGATACTTGTCTGCTCAATAAACTCAAAAGCACCCTGGGCTGGATCCAAAGGAGTGTGAGCAGCAGGTGAGAGAGGGAATTTTCTGCCTCTAGTCTGCTCTTGTGAGACCCTCCCTGGAGTACTACGCACACTTCTGGTGTCCCCAGCATAAGAAGGGCATGGAACTGTTGGAGGAAGTCCAGAGGAGGCCACAAAGCTGAGAAAAGGACTTGAGCACCTTCTCTATGCAGACAGACTGAGAAAGTTGGGGCTGTTCAGCATGGAGAAAAGAAGGCTGTGTGGAGATCTCATAGCAACCTTCAAGGAACTGAAGGGGCTCCAGGGTAGCTGGAGAGGGACTCTTTGTTAGGAACTGCAGTGATAGGACAAGGAGTAGTGGGTATAAATTGAAAGAGGGAAATTTAGATTAGATATCAGGAAGAAGTTTTCCCTGTGAGGGTGGTGAGTCACTGGCACAGGTTGCCCAGGGAGGCTGTGGCTGCTCAACCCTGGCAGTGTCCAAAGCTAGGTTGGATGAAGCCTTGAGCAACCTGCTCTGGTGGGAGATGTCCCTGCCCAAGGCAGGGGGTTGGGTCTGGATGATCTCTAAGGTCCATTCCAACCCCCTTACATACACACATACATAGTATTCAGTGAAATCACAGACTTGCTGCTAGCTGATCCCCCTTGAACTGAGACATCTGTGTAAAATGGTCTGGATGTGCTGTTTTCTGCATAGAGGCAAGAGCTTGGAATAGATACTTCCTTAGGTGTCTGATTCAGTTGCATGTAGATGGTTTCAGTTCACCTATACAACTTCTCTGAGCTGAGAGTTGTAGGACTGCCAGAGCTGTGTAACATCATGAGTCATAAGTATTTCTGGGTGTGCATAATGGGATTTCCATGTTCCTGGTGGGTTACTCTTCTGCACTCCTATGATTTTAAGGTGGAGGTTCTCTAGGTTCAGTTGCACTGGTGCTGTGAAGTTATTTCCTCTCTAGTGATGTCCTAGGTAAATTGGTCTGGCTAGTGCTGCTAATTATCATATGCATTAGGCCTTCCCAGGTGATGGTGCAAATCATGTCTACACAATACACCTATCTATTGGTCCTCCTGCAGCACTCAGGACACATTGAACTTGCTTGTGTGTAGGTACCGTGGGTGAATGTCTTCTGAATTTGTGGAAACACCCAGCTTAGCTGGAGCTGCTCTAATGTGAAGACAACCAAGCAAACAGAACATTTAACTTAGCCATTTCTGAATTTGATGGCACAAGCTTGATGTAACACTGCTTTATTTCAAGCAGCTCGATGTAGAATGATGTTCCAGAGAGTTCACCATGCTGTGAATTTCATCTGGACCACAGTAGCTAAGAAATCCTAATCAGCCATTCATGCTGTAATGGTATGTGATTTCAGCTACAATATGAGGTTCCTTGGCCATAGGGCTCCTGAGTGAGTCATCATAGTAGGTCTGCAGCATACCAGAGAGCTCTGTATCTATTCCAGTAGTAATGCTAGATCTGTTCATTGTGATATCCTTGATCATAGGCCAAATATACCTGCCAGCAGAACTTAACTTCCTGAAATGGTGTCTATTCCAACTTCCCAAGATGATGTCCATCCCAACTTCCTAAGACAGTGTCCCTTCCAACTTCCCAAAATGGTGTCCATTCCAACTGAGTTCTGACAATTTAAAATGGCTCTGTGCAGGTTCACTAAAATGGTATGAAACAAGTTCTTGGGAGGAGTTTCCTGAAAATAACAAAAAGTGTTAAGAAACTAAGGATGCTTTGATATACACCTGCTTCTATGTGGTGTGAGACATGAAGATTAGCAACCTTTGACTGACATTATAAGCCCTGTGATTTATTGAACAGTGTTTTGGGCGGGATAGTCATCAGGTGAAGGGTTCTAAATGCTAGTTCCAAGTACTGTTGTGGATTCTGTAGTCATATGTTTTGGATGTGTGTGTTTACCTTTATCAATTTTCCTTTAAAACTTTGCTCCATTAATTTCTTGGCTCCTTTCCAGCTTATTATTTGGCTTTTGGTAAAAGAACTTGTGGTCCAGGCCTTGAATTCAAAGGTGTTTTTGTGAGTTACTTTTCTTCTTGACACAGGTGATGAAAGATGACTTGGCAATGGTACTTTGAGAAGTTTCACATCTATTTTTGGTACAAGTGACAATGACGATATTAAAGTCATATTATATAACTTAGGTCACCACCATGGGAACTTCTATTATTAGGAACTTAGCAAAAAACCAGATTTAGGTTTAATGGTGCTTTTATGATTAAATCTTTCTTTGAAGTGTGCAGTGAAATCTCAACTGAATCTTTCTTTTCAGTCTGAAAAACCCATGCCCTGTGAAGATGTGCCAGACTGCAGTGAAGTGCCACGGGCATTTGGATCTATGGAATTTTCTGATACGGCTTCGCTGTTTGAAGAATCTCCATTAGAAGAGTTTATTCTAAATAATCACAGAACAAAGCAGGTGTCTGATACACTATTATTAACCAAAAAAATCTTAGTCTCACTGTGCATAAAAATTATTGCCTATTTAGATGTTTGGTGGGCCCTGGCCAAGAGGAGTTGCAAACAGAGTAAAGAGTTTTAAATATATAGCTGAACGTAAATTGTGGCTTCCTCTGGTTCAAGATTGTGATTCATTTGATGAGAAATTAAGCTTTGACATTTGATTTGCATAAAATCAGCATCCAGGGAATGATTAAGTGAGGATTTTAAAACTCACAGGAAAATATAAGGTGCAGCAAACAGGTTTTGGAGCTAGGCTAGAGCTGGACACATCTCTGAAAAGTGCAAACTGTCAGTTTTGGGCAAGAAAATCCAGTGAAGTAATGGAAATTTTACAATCAAGCCAAATGAAAATTCTTAGCTGTGTTTAGGTGAGCTGGTGAGCAACAGTGTGAAATATGCAAGCTAAAGAGTTTAGAAGAGCAGATAAAGAAGTGGCAAATTGAGAACTTTATTAGGAAGTTATAGAGAAGTATTGAAGAGTTTTAAACTATTTTGCTCTGTAGGCAAGCACTGTATGGTATTTTTAACCTGCTTCAGAATGTCCTTGCCTGTAAGATTAGAATATAGCAAAATTGCCTTTTGTCTCTTTGTTACACCTCTTGTAGCATTCAGGGCATGATGCTCAACTGGTCGATACAGAATTCACTCTGTCAACTCCAGTGACAAGAAAAGTGGCATCAAAGAAGCATAAAACCAAAGAGAATGTTGAGGCAGAGTCAGCTGTAAGAAACAAAAGGCCCTTTGTGCTTCCTGCTCCAAAGACTCCTTTTGCAAAGAGTCAGGTTGAGGCACAGGCACAAGCTGTACCCTCTCAGGCCTTCAAAGGTATGTGGAATGGAATAAATGGAGGCTTAGAACATGTATGTTGCTTGGGAATTATTGAAATTCAAATAGGAACACAATAATAGTACATCCAAATATCTCTTTTTGGAAGACCTGACTTTTTTGGCCCTATTCACCATCCTGGTTCTTGTACATCTGGTAGGGTGCTGCAAGTGTTCTTATCACCTATCAGGGCATGTCAGTTGTGTTAATAACAGTATTACACTCTGGCATGGAGCCAAGTGTTGTGTTACTCAAACTTGGTTCTACTTTTCCAAGAAGGCTGAGAAAGCAATTTTCCTTAATGCTGCTTTTCAAAACTTTCTGATTACCTTGAGTGAAAATAAAGGCATACTTTTAGTCAAGTCTGCTTTTCTTGCTGCTTTTAAGAGAAATCTAACTTTTCTAAGAGAAATCTGACTTTCTAATCTAATCTCATGGTGTCATATCAGCATTTTCACAGGAACAGTCCAGCGTACCAGTGAAAATACTCCTGTTAACAACATACAGGTCTTGCAGTTATGTAATAGACCACAAAAATCTGTCTTAATTACGTAAGATTTTCTGAGTTACCAGAGATTTCTGTCCTCAGCCTATCTTGTTGTCCACAGATATGTATGTACATTATCTTCTACCATTGCCATAGGAGTGTTACTACTGTAAGTGCTAACTCTGTCCTTCAAATGCCAAGGGCTCTTTGCAATAGGGAACAGCTCTTCCCGATGCTAAGGAACATTATTTAGGCACAGTATGTCTTTGCAGGCTGGTTCAAGGGATAAGAGGTCTTGGCCATGCTGCTATTTAATGACATCCTTTGTAAAGGGTTTAAGGGATTGCAGTACAAAGACTAGTTGTTTACAAGTTTGTCTTGAGATTGTATGTAATGACTTGTGAAGTCTGATGTCATGGTAAATTTCAAAAGCAAAATAGATACTCTCTGAAATGGGAAATACAAAAATACTTTTAGCTGATTTTAGTGAGGTATTTCTGAGGATTAAACAAAGCTAAATCTTTGATGCATTGAAAGATCTTTGATCTGGGAAAGGTAGCGTTAACACTTTGCTAGAGAGAGAAAAGTGGAAATATCTGGTGGAAATTTTGAGGTGCTTGTCTGGGATCGGGTGCAATTCTGCAGAAAGCTGAAACTTTGAATGTTGAAGTCTGGTTTAATTATGACAACTTATTTGCTGGCTGTTTCCCTTGGTGTTTGTTCCTGCATGTTCAAAGTCATGCTCTGCAGACACTGACTGCTTAGGCTGTTATGTAGCATGTATATCATGTATTAAACATTGCTATATATTATGTATTAAATATGGCTGCATAAATTTGTTCCCTATATATGAGGGAAATGGATCAGTGAAGAACACAACAATTTGATGCAGTGGATCCCTCAGTATTTATTCTGGGGCCAGTGGCAGAGCAAGAAAGAAATTCTGATCCTCAGATTTCTAATACTGAACTACATTGGTTGCTGTAAGGTTTGACTTGTAGAGCCCTGGGAATTTCAGTCCCAGTTTTAGGTTGCAGAGTTAGTATTGCTGTTGTATTAAACACATATTTTATCGTTCTGAACATACAGACCTGAGATCGAAAAGGGTTTTTAGAAATAAGCTATTAACAATGATTATGAACAATGCTGAAGAAAGGAAAACCCTCTGTGCAAAGACATACCTGGTTTGGCTTGGATGCTTTCTTTCAGAGAGCCAGATCACTACAGTCACCCCGATTAAGAAACCCACCAACTTAACAAACGCAGATGAACTGACAGCAGCTGAGGTTCTTCCTGGAAGAAGGTAAGTGTCCAGTTATTTGTGTGCACTTCTGATTTACAGCAGGACTGCCTTAAACCAGATGATGCATAGGAAGCCTTGTTACTACAACAAGCTGTAATTTCTTTCGGTAAAAACTTTCCTAAAGCCTCTTTCTACGTTCACTAAAACAGAATGAAGGCAGAGAAAAGTTTTAAAAACTATGTAGCTCAATTACCTTTAGGATATATTCTTTTTTTCCATATTGTAAATTTCTTCTTATTCCAGATCCCCAGAGGACTGCATTTTCTAGATACACCTCTGGGTTCAAACCTCAACCTCTGGGCTTAAAACCTCAGTTATTTCAAACAAAAACTCCTATAATACATTGCCCTTGCTTTGATTTTCTATGTTCTGTTGGGTCTGGTAGTATATAAGTGACATGACTGAAATAATTTCTTAACACTGAGGTAAAGAGAACTGATTAATTTGCTCATGTAACAGGTGTCATTCAGTGGAGTTAGATATCAATTTAGCTCATGTGGATAGCAGCCAAAAGAAGAGAAAAGCCAAGATATTTGGAAGTCTTGAAAGAGGCCTAGATAAAGTGATCACCATGCTTACACCAAGCAAGAAGAAACGATCCACTAGGGATTGCCCAAGGAAACTTAAGGTATGGTTGCTGCAAAAGTCTTACATGAGAACAAGTACTTTTTGATGATGATGATGATGTTACAATTTATATTATTGAAAACATCCAATAGCTTCAGAAAGAGTCTTGTGAGATCCTCTGGGATCTGTCTTGCCTGCATACTACACTAAAGTGCTGTTTCTACCTCACTGTTAACATGGCAGTGCTCCAGTTAACACCTTGAGGTATCTGTTAGTGTGGGCTCAGGTAAGTCAACAGATCTAGGAAAGAGCTTGGCTGTTACTGCTTATAGCCCATCTAAACCAATTGTGAAGGAAGCAGGATGGTCTTAAAGGAGCTGTAGCTAGCAATTTTTATTTATGTTATTCATATAGAGATACTGCTGAGCTCTCCCACTAAAATGTGCTAATTTTCCTTACTTAGGCTTCTGTAGTCCAGGAACAGTATGTCCATTCCCAGGTTCTTTAGATGTCTATGGAATGTGAAGTTACATTTAAACCCTAAATAACTGCACCTTACAAAAGATTTTCCGACACTGTCAGCATAGTTTTGGTGGTTACAGTTTTGATGTCACTGCCTCCAAGCCAGTTAGCTGCTTATTCTTCCTTAAGTAGCCACAGAAAAAGCAGTTCCTTAGGTAGTGTGTTGCACAGAGCACTTGAATATCACATTCATAACTTGTTCTTACCAAAGTGTCTCATGAGGTTAACATTAGCTTTGTAGAATACATAGCACATGGCGCTGGCATGATACCAGTGCAGCGAACAGAACAGCCCATTGGTGAGTCAGCAACGACTGAGGTGAGTCTGGATGTGCCAGACTGAGCTGTGCAAGGGATTCCCAAGCTCAGGAGCAACCAAGCAGCAGTCCAGAACCCAGCAGGACCTGAAAGCCAGTCAGGCAAGGACGGGCTGTCATGGTCTAAACCCAGGCAGCAGCCAAGCCCCACGCAGCTGCTTGCTCATTCCCCACCCATGGGTCAGGGAGAGAATCAGAAGGGTAAGAGCTGGAAAACTCATGGATCGCGATAAAAGCAGTTTAAGAAGTAAAGCAAAAGCCACACACAAGCAAAGCAAAACAATTCTTCGGCTGCTTCCCACAGGCAGGAGGTATTCAGCACCTCCAGGAGAGCAGGGCCCCATCCATGTAACAGTGACTTGGGAAGACAAGTGGCATCACTCCAAACGCCCCCCATTCACTCCTTCTTCCTCCCACTTTATGTACTGAACATTATGTCCTGTGGTCTGGGATATCCCTTTAGCCAGTTTGGGTCTCCTGTCCCAGCTGTGTCTCCTCCCATTCTCCCATGCACACTCAAGTTCCTTGCTAGTGTGGCAGAATGAAAACCAGCAGAGTCTTGGCGCTGTGCAAACTCAATGATAACAAAAACATCTCTGCACTGTCAACTCCTTGCTCAGCACAAATCCAAAACATAGCCCCAGAGCAGACACTGTGAAGAAAGTCAGCTCTACTCCAGCCCAAACCAGCACAGGGGCATTGCCAGAAGCAGTGCAGAAGCTTGAAACAGCTCTTGGGAGCACAAGTGACCAGGAACATGGCAACCACAGTGGGCAACCAGGACATGGTGCCTCAGAAGGATGTGGCATGGTAGTTTCTGATGGGCAGGGCCTGTTGGGAGAGTGCTCCAATTTGCAAGTAGGTCCATAGCTCAGGTAGGAGCTCTAGGGTTCTGCCATAATGGTGGGCACTCGCCTCAGAGCCATAACTAGTCTCTACTGAAACAGCCCTTGAGAAGTCTGATGCTTTCACCCAGATGGAACTGGTAAGGAAGGAAATGTCAGGATAGGTGGTAGCTTGCAATGGATTCCCAGATACTTCTGCTGGAGAATAGGCTGCTATGTACACAAAGTGTGCACAGGTGGATGATCTGCTGTGGCAAATGACCAAAGTTACAAGAGACAGTATTAGACAGTATTAACAGCATTAGGGCAGCTGAAGTAGAGATGGATATATGACTTCAGAACCATTTGTCTACAATGGATGCCACTGAGCAGGAGACCCCTTTGACCCTGGTTACCCACAAAAGCAGGATTCCAATTCCACCATCCAACATCCAGACCAGCTCTCTATATGATGCTTTAATGACTTTAGATGTCCATGAGCAAGGCCAACAAGGAGTACCTGCACCAGCAATGCAGAGTGATGAATCCTTTTGCACCCCTTCAAGGGAACCTGTGTTCTTGATCAGCTCTCTGAAGTGACACAAATGCACAGAGCAAGGGGAATAAACAGAAATCTGTGTGTGGTTGCAGTGCTATGATCTTATGAAATGGCAAAGATGTGGTGGGATAGCTCATGAGTGGAATGTTCTCATGGATGGCTCTGTACTTTTTGAAAGGGCAGTTCAGAGACATGAGGTGGTGGAGTTGCTCTTTATGTGAGAGATAAACTGGAAGGCATTGAGCTCTGCCCAAAGGCAGATGAACAACTTGAGATCTTATGGGTAAGGATTAAGGAACAGGCTAATATGGGTGACACTGTTGTGGGTGTTTACCACAGGCCAGTTGATCAGGAGGGGGAAGTTGAGGCTTTCTGTGAGCAGCTGGGATAGCCTCACGGTTACAGACCCTGGTTGTCCTGGTAGACTTCAACCATGCTGATATTTGTGGGAGGGACAACATGGATCAGCACACACAGCCCAGGGAGTTTCTGCAGATCATCAGAGGACAGATGCAGAGGACAGTCAAAAGGAAGATCCATCTGGAGGATCTCCAGCTTGCACCCTATCTTCTAAACTCATTACTCCCACAGCTACAAAGGGAAAAAAGAAAGGTAATTGTATTAGGCTACTCCCTTCTGAAGGAAACTCAGGGCCCTATGTGCCGACTGGACCCATCCCACAGGGAA